TCAGTGTAGATGTGCAGCATGGTTTTGGGGAGGGCATGATGTCCATCCATATTTTTACAGAGGGAGCAACCGAGCACTGACCAGCTCATTGTGTCAGGCAGCACGATGAGTCCCTAACACCTACGAATTTGTTGCTATGTTTTACCTTGACTATTTACCACAGGCATGATACTGAAGGTGTTCAACTCAAAAATCACTTTATGGATCTCGTACGATGCTTGCAGCACCCTCATTCAGCGACTAAATAACTCCTGTTCTCAGGAGCATAAAACAGAGGCAAGGAGATCAATAATGAATATTTGGCAGATTTTGATAAGCCTTGAGGGTGAGACCCCTTTGTTCACTGGAGAAACGAGGTGGGAAATCAATGTGCATATGGTCCCTGCACCTCTTCGCTCGGTCGCTCTCAGGATGCTGGGGTGGCTGTAGCTACTGCACTTCTGTTTGCTGAAGAGGTGGATGAGGAAATGATCAGAGAGGGTAGGATGTGGTTAAAGCCTCGGTTTGCTAACTGGGGCTAATGTGAGGGGAGCATATTATGCCTCACATCCATTAAGGCCTCCAGCAATCACCTCCCACGAAGGTGAAGGAGCAGCAGAGAAGGAATTGCGACTTCCTGAGTCCCAGTAGCTCCTGGAGCTGTTCCTGTTAATATTCAGTTATGTGCTGCCCTGGACTTAGAGCACTGAACTACATCTCACTTCAACCCTGAGGCTCAGCTGCAACAAACACAGCTGCAGGAGGGCTGAGCCACGAAGAAAAACAGCCCCAAAACGCACCTCCAGCCATCTGTGTGGAACCAGCACGAGGGAGGAACCATCCACCCTCTCCAGGCTGCGAGACTTTGGGGAGCTGCTCATACTGTGAGCTGTGGGCAGGGTCATCAAACTCTTTTCCCCCTGCTTTTTATCCTGGATGTGCCAAATGACCACAGAATGCTCTGCATGTGCTTCCTCCGCATCTCACACCACACACCTTCTGCTACGGCTTTTCCTTCATCTCACCCCCCCCAACCCTGACTGTCTCCCATCCCTGTTGACCCACCCACCCTCTGATAAACCCCTTCCACTTCCAGATCATGGTATTAACTTGACATTTGCAAAAGGTCACTGTGTTTGCTCTGCCTGAGTGTTACATTGCTCACTCTTTTGTTGTTCTGAGTTGTAAGCCCTTCAAGGCAGAGGTTATCTCCTAGAGTGTGACTACGCAGTGTCCAGGAGAACGAGGCTCCTGGTCAGTTGGTGTCTAACAGCTATAACAAAGATAATACCATGCTCCTCAATGAAGAGGCTGACTCTAATTTTATAAATTAATCCTCAGAGGTTAATGAATCTTAATTTATATGTAAAAGCCTTCCTTCCAGAAGAGGTCCATAAGCAGGATCACAACCAACATCTTAATTTCAAAGTGCACCAGTGCCAGATCCCTCCTGTATTTCCAGGAGTCCATTTGGACCATGTGGTATTGCTGGAGCATATGCCATTTGCTGCAGGAACAAATGTGGGACATAAGGGAGGTGACACACAATACTTACTTTGTGCATCCAGTTTATGCAGATGAAGTTCTGGCTTTTTTTAGCCTGGGCTTTGTCACGCTGAAACTGTCTGTTGCATCAGATTAATAGCAATGGAGATGAGCGTGTATGACACGTGTTTGGGTGTCTGTCCTGCAGTGGTTGGTGCCAGCAAGGTGCAACTGGTAAAGAAAGGGCACACGAATTAAGCCCTTTGCTCTCAGGTAAAAATGGATCTGATCCCGTCCACAGTCCTGACCTGACCAGCATCCCTTGAGGAGAAGATGCAGGGCTGGAGCTCTCCCATGCCATAATCTCTGGGAGAGCTCCAGCCAGGGAGGGACTCAGCACTTCCCTTCTATCCATGAGGAGACACTCCAGTCTTGGCTCTTCTCAAGCAGAAACCAACTCTGAGCCTCAGTCACAGCGAGGCTACACCAGAAAGAGGGATGGGAGGGTGGGGCTGCAGGACTGGGCAGGCTGAGCTTGTGGTTGAGGTTGCTCTTCACCTCATGTTGGCATCGCAGTGGAAATGCATCTGGAAGAGCTGCACGTCTGGAAGAGGTGCTGATGGGGGATCTTTGCCTTTAGCTTTGGTGCCAAGACCAACAGAGCACCAGACTGACAGTCGTGCTGGCTCTAAGAACAGCCCAACCTGGCTCCTCTGCCTTAGTTTGTTTTGAGACTGACACAAAGCCAGATCATTCACAAAAAGCACGTACAGCCTTTCCCAGGTACTAATTTTCCCCTTGCATATGGTGAGACTCCTTAAATTCCTCTACTATTTTGCTTTGAAAATTACTTATTCCCAGAGCTACCCTGGCTCCTCTGCCTCTCCATGATATATCCCTTGCCTGCCAGGACACTAGGCTAGGCTCAGAGTCACTACACACAGATTAATTGCCTGGTATGGATGGGTTGGGTGGCTGGAAGGTGGCTGCCAACCCGGAGGTGTTATGCCTAAGTTCCGCTTCAATTTATGATCCCAGTCTCTCTCCCTCCTGTCTGTGTGCAACTTGCAGGAATATAACTGTCTCTGAAATATCTGCTTCCTCCCAAATTCATCTGATATTCATTAATGGGCTCAGAAGCTTTTGGGAGAGGGGGATGGACACACATGCACGGAAAAGCAGCACAGCAGAACCTTTATTTCCTTAGGGAAGCAGCCTAAAGAAATATTAGCATTTATTCTCCTCTGTTGCTGAGCTTACGACCCACACAAATAACAGGGAATAGCAAGCAAGCAGCCGACTGCAGAATGGGAACAGGGAAAATGACTCAGCAGGCTTGGCACTGATCTGGAGAATATGCAGGTACATTATAACCTTGCTTGAGCATCAATCTGATCCGTGACGTGACGTAGAAACAGCAGCTACTGTGGATATTTGCATCCGACGGAAACATTCCTCCTGATAAATGATTTAGCTCTGCCCTCGCAAATAGTTATATCCAGGAGCAGAGCAGGTGAGAAGCTGCTTTCATATTTGCCATGAAAGGAGAGAAAAAAGTTCAATGAAAACCTCTCACTGCTTTCTAAATACCCTTTTTTATTTTTTTTTCTCTGTTATCAGTCGACAAATAGCTGCTGAATTATAGTTTCATGCTTTGTTCGTGTCATTTTCCCCAAGATCAGTATTTCCTGGTACATCACCTTAGAAACTTGATCAACAAACACTCTGCTCGACACATAAACAAAGCTTTATTTTACACTATTTTTGACAGCAGCCACAGTTTTAGAAAACAGAACATTTCGGGTTCTCTGGGCTATTTGCCTCAATGTCACAATTTGGTTTTGGTTTTGAGGGCCTGTCAGCATTGTTTATACCCAGATCTTTAGCAATAGTGATGTTTTTGTGTGAGTGGCAAAGAAAATATATTGCTGCAAACTGCCTTCTGGAATCAGACTTTCTTTTCTTCTATGAAGAGTCTAAATGAAACTGCACTTTCTAACACAGGGGAACTAAAGAGTGAAATGAATTCGAAAGAGAAGTGAAACGAGAAGATTCAGTTTCAACAACAAAAATGAACCAAAAAGAAGCAAAGACAACTTCGACAATGAATCAGGACCATCTCCAAAGTTCAAGCTGCAATAAAATCCAGGAGTGTTATCTCCAAAAGAACAACTGAAGAACTTAGCAGGCCCTTTAAATACTTCCTTATGGAACAGCATAAAATCTTGTCTTGACCTCATGACAAGGTCTTTGTTTTATTGTGAAAAAGCAAGACCAGAGCCTCGTAAAGTTTTCTTACTTGGTTTCACAAGATGAGCGTTTCCCAGGTAGCTGCTGTGAAAACACAAATTAATCCAAGAGCAAACAGGGGATTTTATTTGGCAGTTTTTAAAAACCTGCACAAGAACCCCAGCTACTGAGCCTCCTGTGATCTGCTACCACACAGAGTCCATCAGTTAGGGATTAATTTTAAGGCAGATATTAAAGCCTATCACATGATGAAGGATTTTCCTATATGTGGACTTCAATGGGATGCTTTAAATCCTGTGCGTGCGCGGGTATACACGTTAATGTGCGCGCCGGTGTTTGTTCAAACCTTTTCCATTCACAGCCAGACACAGCCTGAGGCTTCTTCAGGCCTTTCCAGGGAACAGAAACTCGGGAGGGGAGGGAGGGAGAAGGGTCATGTTTAAACCTCACGTTTTTAAAAGTAAGTTTTTGAAGGAGACAGGCTCAGGTGGAAGGAGCCAAGATCGTCAGGATTTTATAACTAACATAATTTTTTAAGAGGAGGCAGAATCCCTGCTCTTTCTTAAGCGCAAGATCCCCTTGCAAGAATTTAAAGCGAATTAGGGAGAAAAGGCGCTCTTTTTACAGAAATGCATCGTTTTGCTTTCCTGCTGGGCTGTAACCTAAAGCGTCTTGGCTGGAGAAAATGAAATAAAGCTGAGTGATGGTGCGCTGTCACTGCTGCTGCCGACACTCTGCCTCCTGCAAATCTCTCCCGACATCGCGCACCGATCTCCCGGTCAGAGCCCGGGAAGCGAGCGGTGCCTCCTCCTTCCAGGTTCAATCCTGCGCCACACAAACTTACCCTCCAGCTTTGTAAAGCACGGCCGGGGTTTGCAGCGAGCGGCTCTGCCCGAGGTGCCGCTTCCCAGGGCTGGTGTGGCGAGGAAACTCTTCCCATGACACAGCAGAACAGCAACAGCAGCAGCAGAGTAAAACAGATCAGTTCTGGCAGTGCTCCTGGAAGACTACTTTATATCCCAGCTCCAGCCTCTTCCTCCTTTCAGGATGAATTTGAAGGAGGGAATATGGAATAAAAAGAGGCTTAGTGAGGCAGGGAAATAAGGCCCAGAGAGATGGGAAACAAGGCACACTGGAGGTGGTCTCCACGGCACGGGGACAGCCTGGATAAATGGCAGAAAGGAACCCAGAGGAAGAAATTCCCCCAAAATTGGATGGGAAGGAGGGCTAAACACAAACGTTGTGTACAGTGGATGAATAGAAGACTCTGAGAGGAGGGAAGGAAAGAAAGAAGGATAAACTGTTTCTCACTTTATTAACTCTTTTCAGCTAAAATCATTACTAATTTCTACAAAACTCCTGAAAGTTTTGATAAAATAATAGCAGAGGTTATCTGAAACACTGATCTGTAGATACACAGCTCATTTCACGGGCACTTGAAAATGAGAGGGGCAGAGCACAGGTACTTCAACCCCAAAGCACGAACGGGAGAGAGAAGGGAGATGATCCACCGTCATTGCAGGATTGGGCCTGGATGGCCGGGCAGCTCCGGTCCCCTCCCGAGGCTAACAGGCACCAGCATCAACCTGGCAGTCGGAAAAAAAGTCGTTTATACGAATCCCACCAGGAAAACTCGGTGGGACACTGAAGAAATTAAATCCCCAACTTAAAATTTGTTGCACCTGTGGGTCGTGCCAAGGGGTTGCTGGAAGTTGTAGGGAAGGAGGGAATGCGGAATTGCTTTTCCTCCTTCAGTTTTTGACAACGAATCCATCCCCCTCTCTCAATTCAGCCCCTCGAGCCTTGCACTTGACCACCAATACCGACGTGATGCCACCGGTTCGGGAGCGGAATTTGGGGACCTCCCGCAGGAACCTTTCGCGGGGAAAACCCCGAGAGCCCCCTGCGCGTTGTCAGCGCGGCGGCGGGAGCGTGGAGCGGGTGGGCTTTATCTCCCGGATCCCAAATCCTGGGGGCAGAAGGAGAGCGGGGAATAAAACCCACTTCAGCACCGCAGGCGGAACAGCAGCCGGAGGAACGCGGTGCTGCCGCCGCCGGCCCCGCACTCCTGCCGGGATGCGCGGAGCACCGGGGGCTGCCCGAACCACGGCGAATGTCGGCACCTTCCCTTTTCCCTTCCGTAAGGGCTGGCTGCTTGCTGGCAGCGTTGCAGCGGCCGGCGCGCATCCCTAGGAGCGGCTCGTTCCAGCATCCCGGCGCACAGCCGGCTGTCGGGAGCCGGCGGTGCGACGGGTCGGGACGGTGAAATCGCTTCGCTGCCGACTGGCAGAGTTAAAGCCCGGCGGTGGCGACCACCGGCATCGACTCCGCACCGGCAGCACCGCTCACATCTGCCACTCCTCAGTCCGACACAAATAAGTTTGGGTTCCCCCTTCCCCCCCCCCAGTTTTGTTCTTTTCTTTTTCTTTTTTTCTTTTTTTTTTTTTTTTTTTCTGTGGGTTTTTTGTTTTTTTTTTTCTCTGCCGGCTTCCAGCATCCGAGACCCACCGCGGCCGCAGACGAGCCCCGCATCCCGCACCCTCCAGTAGCGGGGTCCATCCCTCCGCACGGTGCCTGCCTGGTTTGTTTTCACGTAGCGACCGGTGCGAAAAGAGGAGGAGGGAAAAAGAAAAAAAAAAAAACAAACCAAACCGACAAACCCCAAACCAACCCTAATTAACAATAATAATAACAATAATAATAAAAGAAGCAAGCGCAGCAACTTGCTTTAAGCAGAGGGCGTAGGAGCGGAGAGCGCAGCCCCCCGGGGAGGGCAGGCGGGGAGCGCAGGGAGGGCAGGCGGGCACCGCCGGGGCTCGCAGCCCCCCGGGGGTACCGGCGGGTCCGGCGGCGGACGTGGAAGTCCCCTTTAAGTTTCCATAGAGAGGCCTCCGGGTGTCACATGATGGACATGATATAACGAAACAACATCGTGGGGAGGAAGGGAGGGAAGCAGTGGGGGAGCCCGGGGAGGCGGCGGGGTAGGCGGTGGTGCCCCCCGACCCGCCCGCCCCGGCTGCACCTGTCTCGGCGCGCCGGGAGCGCGGTGTCCGCCCCGCTGATGGGGCTGCGGGCGGCACCTTCCCCCGGGGAGGGGACGACGAGGAGGAGGAGAAGGGAGGAGAAGGAGAGCCGGTGGCGGAGGTAAGTTACCGGCGGGACCGGGGCGGGGGGCGCGGGGCGCGGTGTGCGGGGAGGGGATGCGGAGGGGGGGGGTGTGCGCGGGGTGCCCGCGGTGTCCCCGCGGAGCGCCGGGCGTGTGCGCGCCCTCCCGCCCTCCATGTCCGCATTCCAGCTCATGTTGCGCAGATAAAATTCAAACTTGAGGTAAACACAAGCGGCGGGGGGGGGGACCGGCGGGGGGGGGGAGAAAGGGGGGCGGGGAGCTTGGGGGGGAGGGAGGTTCGCTCCTCCATCCCGTCTCCATCCCAGCTCCATCCCGGCTCCCGCCGCCCCCTCCCCGCCGCTCCCCCCGCTCCGCACTCGCGGAGCCCCCGCGCACCTGGGGCAGCGCCGGCACCGCGCTGCCTCCCGCGGGCAGGGAGAACCGAGGGAGAGCCGAGCGCCCCTTTGCCCGTACCCCCGGTAGGACGCGGCGGGTCGGGGGACGCGGCAGGTGCGCGGGGCGCTGTCGCGACATGGCTGGTGGTGGGGGGGGTGCGCGCGTCGCGACATGGGGGAAGCAGCAAAGTGACAGCGCGGGGGGGGGGGGGGGGAAGGACGGGGCTGCGCCGCGTTGTTCTTCCTCGTTGGTACGTGGGTATCCTGAATGGAGCGGGAATAGCAGCGATTACCCCCCGATCCCCCTTTTTCTCCATACGCATTTCCAAGTGCGTATGGAGAAAACAAGATGCGGAGCGGGGCGGGCGGGGGGGGGGAAAGAAGGCGGGGAGGGCCGCACTGCTGCTCGCAGCCCCGCTCCGTGACACAGGCGGTGCCGCCGCGGGGATATTTAGCGCTTCGCTCCCGGGGGGTGATGATGGAAGCGGCCGAAGGCACCCACAGGTGGGTGCGTGAGGGGAGAGAGCGGGGGCGAAGCGGTGGCCGCGAGGGGAGCGCCGGAGCGGGTCGCGCACCCCGCGGGCTCGCGGCGGGAGTGAGGGTGAAGCGGGGAGCGGAGACGGGGCTTGGGCTGGCGAGTGGCGCAGCTCGGGGCGGCGCGGGGGTGCCGGCGGTGCCGCCATGGCGGGTGTGAGGGAGCGGCGCCCTCAGGGGGGTCCCGGCAGCCCCGCCGAGGGCGGGAAAAGCGCGCGCGGCCCCCGCCTGGCGCCTCCTCAGCACTGCACCAAGGCGGCGGGAGGGGGGGGGGAGGGCGAGAGGACGGGGGGGGGGGGGAACCGGCGGCCACGCCCACCGCGCCCCCCCGCCGGCCAATCGCCGTGGGCGGCGCGGCGAGGACACGCCCCTCCGCGCGCGCGCCGCGCCCTCCCGGCCAATGGCAGCGCGGCCGCGGGGGCCCCCCCGGCGCCCCCCTTCGCCCACCCGCCTGTTTGTTACGGCCGGGGCCACGTGCCGCCGCCGCCTCGCGCCCGGTCACGTGGCCCCCCGGGACCTGGGGGGTCTGAGGGGGAACCGTGGGGGTCTGAGGAGGAACCATGGGGGTCTGGAGCCTGCCGTGTCCATGGGGGTGTGACAGGGACCGTGGGGGTCTGGAGCCTGCCGTGTCCATGGGGGTGTGACAGGGACCGTGGGGGTGTGACAGGGACCGTGGGGGTCTGGAGCCTCCCGTGTCCATGGGGGTGTGACAGGGACCGTGGGGGTCTGGAGCCTTCCGTGTCCGTGGGGGTGTGACAGGGACCGTGGGGGTCTGGAGCCTGCCGTGTCCATGGGGGTGTGACAGGGACCGTGGGGGTCTGGAGCCTTTCCTGTCTGTGGGGGTGTGACAGGGACCGTGGGGGTCTGGAGCCCTCTTGTCAGTGGGGTCTGACAGGGATTCTGAGGGTCGGAAGACCTCCCTGTCCATGGGGTCTGATGGAAACATGGGGTCTGACCAGGACCATGGGGGTCTGGAGCTCTCCTGTCAGTGGGGTCTGACCAGGACTGTGGGGGTCTGGAAGCTTCCCTGTCCATTAGATCTGCTGGGGACCACTGGAGTCTGGAACTCTCTTGACAATAGGGGTCTGATGGGGACTGTGGGGTTCTGCAGTCTTCCCTGTTCATGGGGTCTGATGGGGACCATGGGGATCTCGAGCCCTCCGCCCTCTTGTCTATGGGGAACTGACAGGGACATTGGGGGTCTGCAGCGCTCTTGTTCATGGAGGCTGATAGAGATCGTGGAGATCTGGAGCCCTCCTGCCCATGGGGACTACAGGGGTCTGCAGCCTTCCCTGTTCTGGGGGTGTGACCAGGAGCATGGGGTTCTGGAGCCATCCTGTATCCTGGGGGGTGTGACCAGGAACATGGGAGTCTGCAGGCCTCCTGTCCAGGGTGTTTAACAGGGATCTTGAGGATCTGGAGCTTTCCTGACATTGGGGTCTGACATGAGACACGGGGGTCTGGAGCCCTCCTGCTCAGGGAGTCTCATGGGGACCATGGGGGTTGGGAGCCTTCCTGTCCATGGGATCTGACCAGGACTGTGGGGTTCTGGAGTCCTCCTGTCCACAGGGGTCTGACAGGGACCATGGGGGTCTGGAGCCCTCCCTGTTTATGGGGTCTGACAGGAACCATGGAGGTCTGGAACTCTCTCTGTCCACATGAGTCTGATGGGGAGAACATGGGGGTCTGGAGCTCTCCTGTCCAGGGTGTTTGACAGGGATACCGAGGGTCTGGAGCCCTCCCTGCCCATGGGGTCTGACTGAGGACAGTGGGGGTCTGGAGCCCTCCTGCTCCGGGGAGTCTGACTGGGCCTGGGTCTGGCTACCAGCCCAGGGGGCCTGAAGCCCCTCTGCCCAGGGGAGGTGGCCAGGACCCTCTTGCTGTAGCCTTTCTCACTGTGAGCATCCATTCTGCCCCAGCCCCATTAAACCTCCTGAAGGGCCTGTCCCTGGCTCTCGGCTCTGTCATGGCCGAGCCGTGACAGCCTGTCCGTGGCTGGCTCTGGCCTCCAGAGAGGGAGGTGTTTCTCTCCCGAGGAGAGCTGTTTATGCCCAGTGATTTTTTTTTTTTTTTTTTTTTTATTTTTTTTTCACCTCCCTCCGTGCTCTCCTGCACAAGCCACGGCAGCAGCTCCATGTCTGCCCAGCCTGGCAGTGCTCCGGCACGACTCTTTATGTAGGTGAAGCAGGGAACGCTGTGAGGATCGTATTGAGCTATCAGTCTCCTGAGCCTGGAGCTTTGAGCCTATTTATGGGTAGGTTGAGCAGTCTTCAGCATGAGGGACTCGTGCCACGTCCGAATCCGTGGCAAAACGGGGTGTTTTAAATGGTGCTGTTCTGTTTTCCGTGGCCGTTCCTAGAAGAAATTGGGTTTTACGGAACGCTCCGGAGGACGGGTTGTTAGTAGGTTACGTGGAGAAAGGCAAGTCAGTTTGGAGTTAAGGAACGTGATGCCATTTTAATGCAACTTCTCGGGTGGCAGAGCAAACAGTAAGAGGATACTTGGTTCTAGATCAGCAGCTTTCAGCCTGCAGGCGGTGGGACAACTCACCCGGGGGTCTGTGGGAAGCCACGGGGGAAAGGACATCTGTTTTCTGTAGGCTTGCATTCGTTATACAGATTTCTGCACTGCTAAAGATTTTGTGGCCGGCCAGCTGAAAAAAAATATGGAAGTCGGCTTTTCTAGATCACTAAGATGTTTTGGTTTAGAGTAAGTGGAGGAGGAGTGGAAAAAACCTGTGTGTTTGGTTGTGTGTGTTTCTACTGTGCTGCTTCAAAATGCAAAAATTCAGTGTATTTTTAAGAATTACATAACCACTAATAATGTGGTGACTCTCAAGTAGCCCTCAAGAGTTAAATAACAGCAGATCAACGAGGCTGGGTCAAGAAGAGGAAGAGAGGGTTTTATAACGAATGGTGAGCACCGTGCACAGATATTTAAAATTGCACTAGAAAGGAGTCTTTGGGTAGGAGGAGGATTTTAATGCCCTACAAATATGGAACATGAGAAGGAGGATGGAAAGATGAGGTTTGCAGTTTTATGCTGATCTAGCCCAGTAAATGGATGGGAAAGGGTTTGTGATGCTTCACATTCTTCAGCTTCTCTTCCACCTTGACTTTATCAATTCGGTTTTTTGCATCTGAAATAACGAGAATTTCCAGATACTGAGTGCTGTGGGTGAGGAGGGAATAGGGCATTAAAATAACCAGAAGTTAGTCAAAGGAGTGAGGGGCACTGTAGGGGTGGAAGGACTGGGGTGGTAACCGGCCGTCCGCGGCATGTGCTGGGAGAGCTGGTGTTCTGTGTTGGTTACAGGAGTAATTTGACACGGTGTTACCTACAGAAATATGTTTATTCAGCCCGGGTGGTGCACTTGGTCTGTGCAGGCATATCCGCGTATCCTGGTGTTTTTGGGGAAAAAAGAACCCTACCTTAATACAGGAAATTAACAGGGATGAGTGTTGGAGATTAGAGGGTACCCGGAGGTGCGCAGTGACATGGGCGTGCCAGCGCCTCGGAATTCCGAGTGTACGTGGAATTGCTGGTGGAATTGATGCACCAGGAAATTGCTTTCTCTATTTTTGTTGGTGAGATGCAGTTAATGTAGAAGGAGCCCTTTGCATCCTGTATCCCATTTCTCTTTAATATAACTAAGATCATTTATCTTCTTGGGCGGCGAGAGGGGGGGGAAAAAAAGAATATCTTGTTTTGTAACTTGGTTCACCTTCTCTTCATTTGCTGTCAGCTCATGACAGGGCACAATGTGTGCTGCACACTGTGTTCCACAGAGCTGTTTTGGTGACGAGTACAACGTATATGAAAAAAAAGGGCTATGAAAAATAGGTATTGTGCCAGTTCTCTTCACTTTTTATATAGACAACCCCTGTTTATCTCTAAAAGAGATGCTCAAAAGTTTCATTTTAGGGTCTCTAACGGTTTGCCAAATTTCAGTGGCAAAAAGGTTGCTGTTTTACTCCTTGTAAGCATTCAGAAAGCAGCCGAAAAGGATATATTTAAATTAGTGTTTGTATTGGTTTTGCAGTAGGAAGTAGTGAAACCTTTTATTTTCAGTTTTAATAAAAAGGGAAATTGTGAAATTACTTGAAAAAAATGTTTGTTTATGCTCTAGTAGCCTCTTATATGGTTAAAATTAAGAGGATTTCTTTAATCCAGGCTAGATTTTAATTGTTGTAGTCACGTGTTTACTAGATTTCTTTTATATTTAAAAGTGAAAACATGCAGTCATGGTTTTTTGACCTCGTGTATAGCATGACTTAGCTGTACTTCGTGCCATATTTGCACGGTGTTTTTCCGTAAACATCTTGCTCCTGGAATTATTGGTAGCACCAGAACAGGAGCTTGAAAATACTGTCACATAAAGGGTGGGAGCACTTGCAAACAGGAACACTGAAATACAAAGTTAAAAAAGAAAAAGAAAAAAAAATCTCTCCCCAGCAGTTCTTTCAAGTCAGTTCGATGATAATTTTGGATCCCGACTCGTGGTTTTCTAAACGGCTGGAGACGAAATTAACGGGGCTGCGACTGTTTGTCACGAATTTCAGCATAAAGAGTATTTTTCTTTTGGCTTTGGATTTCGTGCAAATCCAGTGAACCCCCCCCCCCCCCCTCC